AAAGCTAAATAATCAAGATTTAAACCACAGATAACTCATTGTTTAGTTTTGTGCTTGACTTCAAACAAACAAGCTTAAAAAGCTAAATAATCAAGATTTAAACCACAGATAACTCATTGTTTAGTTTTGTGCTTGACTTCAAACAAACAAACAAGCTTAAAAAGCTAAATAATCAAGATTTAAACCACAGATAAGTCATTGTTTAATTTTGTGCTTTACTTCAAACAAACAAGTAATGCATATTTTTAAAGAGGGTTTCATTTTAATCAGTTATTGACTTTTAAAGAGACTCAGCATGGAATGGTGTAATACTAAATGAAAGTCAACTTAACCTCATGTCATGTAACTTCTTCCATAAGGTTCAGAGTAAATTCAGTAAACTGTTTGTTTCATTTTAATCAGTTATTGACTTTTAAAGAGACTCAGCATGGAATGGTGTAATACTAAATGAAAGTCAACTTAACCTCATGTCATGTAACTTCTTCCATAAGGTTCAGAGTAAATTCAGTAAACTGTTTATGTTTCATTTTAGCGTTTAACATATATATATACATGACTTTTTGGTTAATTTTATTTTTTTTACAAAAATCTTCATAAATAAAATATCAAGTTTTAGTAAACTATATATACTTCACTATACAGAAAGTAAGAACAATCACGATTAGCGATGTACACCATTGCTCATTATTTTAAACAAGCGATTTACCTTGATGAGAAATACTCAGATAACGTTTAGACTTACACTTGTCTTTTTTTTTTTCTTTCGTTTTAAGAATAAATATGTTAAAGACTGCATAGTTGTTTTGTGATCGGCTGTGTGTTAAAACATTCTTATTTCTTTAAATATACAACCCTATTATATTATTTTCTGAACTTTTATGAAATTATAAATACTAATGAGTGTATACATTGTTATTATTTACATATTTAAGAAATCTTCATATTACCAAAAGTATTTCATGATCTTGAATTGTTTGGTTATCCTTGAATTACAGAATTATGTAATGTTAATACAGTGAGGAGAAGGAAATAAGTTAAATATGTTGTGTGAAAGAGTGAAGTTAATACAGTGAGGAGAAGAAATTAAGTTAAATATGTTGTGTGAAAGAGTAATGTTAATACAGTGAGGAGAAGAAAATAAGTTAAATATGTTGTGTGAAAGACTAAAGTTAATACAGTGAGGAGAAGAAATTAAGTTAAATATGTTGTGTGAAAGAGTAATGTTAATACAGTGAGGAGAAGAAAATAAGTCAAATATGTTGTGTGAAAGACAAGTTAATACAGTGAGGAGAAGAAATTAAGTTAAATATGTTGTGTGAAAGAGACAAGAATTAGCTCTTTAAGCCTAGTTCTTTCTTTCACTTTTTTTTTCATATAATATGGTATACTAGGTGTTTATATAAACACATGGGTATTTACACACTAGGTGTTTATATAAACACATGGGTATTTACAAACTAGGTGTTTATATAAAAACATGGGTATTTACACACTAGGTGTTTATATAAACACATGGGTATTTACACACTAGGTGTTTATATAAACACATGGGTATTTACACGCTAGGTGTTTATATAAACACACGGGTATTTACACGCTAGGTGTTTTTATAAACACATGGGTATCTACACGCTAGGTGTTTATAAACACATGGGTATTTACACACTAGGTGTTTATATAAACACATGGGTATTTACACCTAGGTGTTTATATAAACACACGGGTATTTACACGCTAGGTGTTTTTATAAACACATGGGTATTTACACGCTAGGTGTTTATATAAACACATGGGTATTTACACGCTAGGTGTTTTTATAAACATACGGGTATTTACTTTATTGTGTTATTTCCAGGAGGTCCTTTCAGTGGGCTGGGCTGTAGGATTCACACTGAAAGTGTTCCCATGCACACTTTTGCCAGGTATCTTTTCACAGCTCTTCTACCGTACGATCCTGATTTAGCCTACAGTGTAGGACTAAGAGCAATGAGGTTTGTATTTCAAGTTTTTATGTGTGGTTCAGGTTAAAACTGTAGTGATAAAAGTATGAATTCTTTTGCTGTCAAGCATTAAATTGGTAAAAACAGAAGACTTGGGGTTGAAGGTTTTTGATGTCATCATTATTAAAATCATCAAATTGTAGTTGATTTTTTTAATATAATAATAGTCTCAACATGCGATTTATCCTGTAATGTTTTTTCATTGTATTGTAAAGTATATAAGTGTTGTTTATAAACAGCTCACTTTTGTAAAATTCAAAGAGCCAGTTTAAATTTTTTATTATATACAAGAAAGGTCATTAGTTGTTTAATATGCTGGGTTTTGTTTTATTTACGTTTATTTTCTAATTATCTATAAATAAAACCATCGTTTATAAGAATTCTGAATTTTAGGCTCCTATATTTCTCATCATTGGCAGTTGTATATTTACATGTCATATTTTTCACCAACATAGTAAACTAAACTATACACCTCAGGAAGGGTACATTGGCAGTTGTATATTTACATGTCATATTTTTCACCAACATAGTAAACTAAACTATACACCTCAGGAAGGGCATTTCTCCAAAAATGTTGTGTAGTTTAAAAATTAAAATATATTTGTGGATGTGTTGTCAACCACCAACATAGTCAACTAAACTATACACCTCAGGAAAGGCATTTCCCCAAAAATGTTGTGTAGTTTAAAAATTAAAATATACTTGTGGATGTGTTGTCAACCACCAACATAGTAAACTAACTATACACCTCAGGAAGGGCATTTCTCAAAAAGTGTTGTGTAGTTTAAAAATTAAAATATATTTGTGGATGTGTTGTCAACCACTAACATAGTAAACTAAACTATACACCTCAGGAAGGGCATTTCCCCAAAAATGTTGTGTAGCTTAAAAATTAAAATATATTTGTGGATGTGTTGTCAACCACCAACATAGTAAACTAAACTATACACCTCAGGAAGGGCATTTCCCCCAAAAATGTTGTGTAGTTTAAAAATTAAAATATATTTGTGGATGTGTTGTCAACCACTAACATAGTAAACTAAACTATACACCTCAGGAAGGGC